ACGTTCAATTTTAGCTGTGGTTCTTAGTAAAACAGAGGATGGCTTTTATAAACTTGATACTAAAACAGGTATTTTAAAACAATTGTATGCAAAATTTGAATTCAGTGTTTGCAAAAAGAGATTTTTAACGAAAGAAGATGGATGTCCCTGCTGTAGAAATATCTTTACGTCAAACAGCAATAAAACAATCCCTTAGGTACTGGGCAGGGTTTCAGAAAATGTGACTGCACATCTAAATGTACCACAAATAGGCGTGCTTGTCGCAAAACCATTTGCTATATAATTCAGTGTTACCAATCTTTAGATTGCACTAATAAGTAAGTACAATTTTATCATATGTTTGGCAAATTCATTTCCCTAATTGTGATAATATTTTAAACCGTTTGATTTTTGTATTAAAGTTTTTTTTAATTGATTGATGATTGATTCAATCAACTAATTTGTTGATTGTTTGATTGTATTAACTTGATTCTTTAGATATTGAAAATTAAATAAAGAACATTATGTTAATTTAAGCGTACAGAAACGTTGCTGTTGTTCCAGCAAAGATCTTATTTTAACTTTACAGAGTGCCTAGTAGGTAATTCGCAGATTACCTAGATAATCTGAAGATTACCTAGGTAATTTGAGAAATAGAATAATTTTAGCAGCTTTAACGGATCACCCTAGTTAATCTGCAGATTAGCTAGGTAATGTACACATTAACGGATTTCGAGCTTTAGCGGTAACAAACACACTAAAAGAAGGCGTCTCCCCTAGGCAGATCGCCCAAGTGTTGCGTTGTCATAACTAAACAAACAGTCTTTTCATGAAATTGACCAATCTGGTTGCGAAATCGAAGATGTTATTTCACTCTTCTTATACTGCCGATTTTAATCCTTTATTGAAGTGTTCTTTACTTTATAGATACGTTGTCATTAATTTTAAATGGTATCAAAAGGTAGGTGTCGAGTGTGGTATGCAGCTGAAAATGCATGTCTCTTAGAATAAGAGCGTTATCTCTTTCGTGAGACGAACCTAGACATTCCACAAACACATCCATGAATCATTATGCTCAGCATTACTCGCAAACATGGGCGTCTGCAGAAAATTTTATATGAAATATCGCTTATATTAGAGAGTATATACGAGACATGGGCAAATGCGGCTTTTTTGAGTTACACGCGGCTCTTGCTAAAAAGTGTTAATTTCTGCTTTTTATTATTATTTTTACAATTTTATTTCTACAGTTTTATGAAAATGTATTTATTAAAAACATTCAATATTTGTTTTATATTATATTTATATCATGTAATAAAATCGCGGTACAGAACTGCGGTACAGAATAAAAAAGTACAGAACTGCGGCTCCCATGCATTTTGCAAAACCTACGGTACATTTCGGCTCCCACTGAACTCTTGCTTGCCCACCCGTAGTATATACGATTTACGAATTTTCGTATACACTGTGTATACTTTTTTTAATACTCTTTCCGCTCTGTGGGCACTAAGAGTTAAGAGAACCTCTTTTTGAAAGTCCATTATGGGTTCGGCCAGGCCCACAATGGGGCTGCCGGGTGGTGAGGGATGGAGCCCGACATATCCGAACGGACCCCCAAAAATTCCTGGTGATTATTTGACCCGTCCGAATTCTATCCCAGGTCCCCAGAGCGGTAGGTTGCCACCTTGACCGCTCGGCCATCCGGCCCGTATATACTTTTCAAGAATACTCTTTAGGAGTACGATATTTCTATAAAAACACAGGGTTTACGACGGTTGTAATGTAACCGCTGTAAACATGACGATTTTTTTTTTCAGAGATTACTGAAACAAGGGCCAAAAGACTTACTGTTGCAATTCGTGTATGTCTTCACATTTCATATTTTTATAGGCAAATGTTTTCTACTGTTATAACAAAACAAGTTTTTCATCGCAGATTTCCTGACCAAATACGTCGGATAAAATGGAAGGCCAGAGAACTGAATAATCGAGACTATATCACATAAGATATGACAACTTTTCTACTTATGAGGATGTATTATGTATTATTTAAATAGTATTGTTTTAAATGAAATTTTAAATGAATATATTTCGTTATGGTTTTTAATTTTGTAGTTACAATTGTGCCATTAAAATGAAATTATTATTATTTTTTTCTTGCGAAATTTTAATACAACACTATGGCACTGATGTTAAACACGATATTGCACAAATAGTTACATAAAATTAAATTTTAATAGTAACTTATTTTACAGGTTTATAGTAATGAATCATTTAACATTAAATTCACAAAATATTTTTGTTGTATCGTATCTTAACATGGTTTGTATTTTATTACAAAATGATATAAAATAGTCTAAAATGTCGCTTATAAATACTTATGAATTTGAGAATTCAAGGTTATCAGTTATCACTCGACACATAACATATCTTAATCAGCAATAATCAGCATCTTAATCTTAATTCAATTGCATATTCACCCTAAGATACTAAATAATTTTTCTATAAAATCGGCAGAAAAAAAGAAAAACAAAATTAAAATAAAAAGATACTAGAATAAATATATATGTCCACTTATAAATTTTGTTGAATGTAAAAATTACATTTATCAATAGAAAAACTATTTCGATCGATTTCTTCATATGATGAAACATACATTATCAGTTTTACGTCAATAGCCCCAAGACGTGGCAGTAATCATGGCTTCTTCCATTCCAACAAGCATGACTTTTGGAGGCATCGGACCATTCATGCCTTTCTTAGTAAGATTCAATGGAAAACTTATTTTTTATTTTTGAATTTAATTTTTTTTTACTCTTAATGTATACAATGTTTACGTTTAGCATTGTCAAGGCGATAAGCGAAAACATACATATTGATAGAAATTCGTAAAATTATATTATTTACATCATTTTTAATTGAATATCTTACTGTCAACATATAAATAAAACAGGATTAGGTACACATTTTAAAAATATGGTGAAAAAATATAAAAAGTTCATATTTGGTTAATTTATTTTATTGTTTCGGTCTTTGGTTTAACGTCTCTTATCGAAATGGAATAATAAATAGTAAAATTTGTCATGCTATTACAGTTGTTAGTTATTTGCGTTATAAATACTAATAGTGCCGCAATTACTGGATTTTATATCCAAATATTTTATTGATAAACTGACCAAATTTTAATTTCATATTTTACTTTACATAAAAGGCAAGATAAAATATAAATTCCTAATATGGAAAAACTTGATAAATAAAACANCTGAATACTTTGTGGCTGAATATGCTTGAATATTGAATAATGCCAAATATTCAGTCCAATACAGATTATGTTTACTTAAAATATTTCTTTGCAAAATATATTTAAATTATTAAATATGTTAATATTTCTTATGTTAAATAGAAAAATATAAGTTTAGGAGATTAATTAATGTCTACAAATTTAATATTTTTTTCAAACTTAAGAAAAAGATAAATAGTTTGAGGTTTAATAACAATAAGAATTTACACACTTTTACTATTATAAATTTTATTTTGAAATTAATTTAAGGTTATAAAAAATATTTTTAACACTCATATTTATTTTTAAAGCTAATTCTTCTTGCTGTATTGCAATGCACTTCCCGAAAAATGGATAGTAAATCTCTAGTTGAAGTAGTAACAGATTTTAAGGATTTTAAGAAACTTCTGCGTACAAAAAATAATGTGATGGTATTATATAGTAAATCAGGTTTGTATAAAAATTCCATACATAATTATTTATAAATTATTTTCAAATGATACAGTGCTTGTTAGAATTAAGTTACCTCAATAACAGTGTTCATTTTATTCAAAAAATTTATTATATATTGATACATATATCTGTATCTGAAGGGTGATTCAAAAGCTTCCACACATAGGAAAAGAGTTTGTCTTACTATTGGTGCTCATTTATCATATCTTGTTATTTATTATAACAAGATATGATAAGCAAGCACCAATAATCTGAATATACGAATATTTTCTCCCACTGAATACACATATGAATATTTTCCTCCCACTCATGACAAATGTATGTTAGTACTGTACATCTGATGTTATGCAGCATGCATGTGTATGACAAGTGTGTAATGAAATTAAATCAATCATTAATATTTATATTACACTTAATATGCTTGAATTCAAGAGTAAATTTCATGTAATTCCTAAAATGTCATATTAGTTTATGTAAAAGAAAAAATTATATTACAGTTTAAAATAATCAAAAATCATGTTTGCTAGTACTTTTGTCTTTTCATTTAATTATTTTCAAATTGCTACAAGTTGTTAGAGTGATAAGTTTAAAAGAATAAATAAAAGAATAAATATTAATAAATTTAACTTTGTAATTTATTTTAATATTGTTTGAGTATTAAGCTCATTTAACAAAAGAAGTTTATATGGTAATAAAATATTTATATAAATTATTCATTAAACATATTTCTTACATACATTCGGAACTTATAACATTTTTTGACATTAAAATACTAATCTTTAACTTTAGCAAACAAATCTTAATATCAGAATGTTTTCAACATCTTAAAGGTCGTCTTCAGTGCTTCTAAATGGAATATCTTTTGAAAAGAACATCATTTTTCAGCATATACATTAGCTCAGATTTTTCAAACAAAGAATATTCCAGTAATGGACTGATTCAAATTCAGATACTGTATCTCGTAAAAAATTGTCTCCTTAGAAATAGCTTGTTCCAATGGAGAAATAACATCTCCATAAAAATTCAAATGTTACATAGTTCAATAAACACTGGTACAAAAATGAGTAGGATGAAATCAAAATGCAAAATAAATAAAATGAATAATAAATCAAAGCAAAGATAAAAAAAAAAAATAACTCGAATTAACTATGATTCAAATATAACTTCCATGCTGTGTAAATGATGTTAAGATCCTTAAAATTTCTGTTCGAAAACGTTTGTCTCAACTGTTAATTTAATATACTTGCTGGAATAAAAAAGATTGTTGTGTTGTTAATAAGATCCTTAAAATTGATGACCTCTGCTTTTCTTCCAGAAACATAAATTTTTAACTGTTTCAGAAATTTTAAATTGCATTTTTTCCTCTTACCAGACAAATTAAAGAGGCTTTGTTAAACAGACTCAATTCCAGGGGGTGTCAAAATTTTTTTGATTGAATTATTTATTTCTCAAAGTTGTGAATCTAGACTAAAAGTAAGTTAAAAATAGTAATTACAATGATGTGAGTTTTAATTTTTAAATTTACTTAATCAAAGTAATCAATATTTTTTCTAATTATAAAGATGTTAATCATTATCTGCTTAGTACAAGACTGAAATAGTTTCATAAAAAAAACTATATTATAATAGATTCAATAATATTAAGCATTGTCTTTAATTGATATTTATCATAGAGATATTTTCAATATTTGTATGAAAGTTGCCTTATTATAATGTTTTCTTAATCAGTAGTTGTTTAAATTGGAAATTAAATATGCTTGATAATGTTGCTTGATGATGATGATTATAATAAAATTTTTTGAGAATGCTGTAGAAATGAACAGTAACTAATCATAAAATTAAAGATTATGAGCAACAGATAATGATTTACTTGGTAAGTATCAAACAAGTAATGCATTACAGTTTTGGGTTTGTAGTATTATGATTCAGTAGATAACTATAGTAAACTATTTCTGTTTTATATTAAGAGATGAAAATTGCATAATCAAATTTGGTTTTTAAGATGAAATTTTCATTCTGGAGAAAAGCAATGTATTTTGGCAGATTTTAAATTAGTCTAAATGTAATAAATATAATGTTACAATTTCTGTTTCTGTCATTATATTATAATTTTACATGTCTGAAATAAATAATGCTTTTAGAAAAATTTTTAAGAATGTATCTAATTAATTTATCCAATAACATCTGAAATATGTATATGAGAAATGTGAGAAAGTAATTTTTTTTAAATTGATAGATTAACAAAATTAAATTTTGTCATATCATAACAAATATAAATTTTCTGTCTAGCTAGAGATTATATCTATAGTTATGAAAGTTACAAAAGAAAATAAATTTAATTTCAACTTTTTAAATTTAACTTACAATAGTTTAATATTATGTTTAAATTTGTTTTAAATACTTTACTGTCATTACAGTTCACTCTTGAATTGTGATTACAATATTAATAAATAATATTTGCTCAAGATCATTTAATAAAGTTATATTTATTTCAAAATGGAATAAATAATAATATTTTTAAATATCTGAAATTTTAAATATTTTTATTCTATTTTATGTTTTATTGTTTTTTCATTCTTTTTGCTCCCTAAACTAAAATTACATTATTCAACCAAATAGTTCAGCTTTCAGGAAGTATTTGGTCCAAATATTGAATATATTTTAGTATTCAGCCATAAAGTAAGTATTCAATGGTACACTGAATACTTTGTGGCTGAATATGCTTGAATATTGAATAATGCCAAATATTCAGTCCAATACAGATTATGTTTACTTAAAATATTTCTTTGCAAAATATATTTAAATTATTAAATATGTTAATATTTCTTATGTTAAATAGAAAAATATAAGTTTAGGAGATTAATTAATGTCTACAAATTTAATATTTTTTTCAAACTTAAGAAAAAGATAAATAGTTTGAGGTTTAATAACAATAAGAATTTACACACTTTTACTATTATAAATTTTATTTTGAAATTAATTTAAGGTTATAAAAAATATTTTTAACACTCATATTTATTTTTAAAGCTAATTCTTCTTGCTGTATTGCAATGCACTTCCCGAAAAATGGATAGTAAATCTCTAGTTGAAGTAGTAACAGATTTTAAGGATTTTAAGAAACTTCTGCGTACAAAAAATAATGTGATGGTATTATATAGTAAATCAGGTTTGTATAAAAATTCCATACATAATTATTTATAAATTATTTTCAAATGATACAGTGCTTGTTAGAATTAAGTTACCTCAATAACAGTGTTCATTTTATTCAAAAAATTTATTATATATTGATACATATATCTGTATCTGAAGGGTGATTCAAAAGCTTCCACACATAGGAAAAGAGTTTGTCTTACTATTGGTGCTCATTTATCATATCTTGTTATTTATTATAACAAGATATGATAAGCAAGCACCAATAATCTGAATATACGAATATTTTCTCCCACTGAATACACATATGAATATTTTCCTCCCACTCATGACAAATGTATGTTAGTACTGTACATCTGATGTTATGCAGCATGCATGTGTATGACAAGTGTGTTTCTTTAAGTAGTGTATTGTATATGGAAAATTTTGAATGACACTATACATTAATATCATTTGAAATAAATATCATATATTAATTAATATACATAAGTAATAAAGAAAGTGAAGATTATTTATCATAACTGATGATGATATGCAAAAACAACATTTTTTGAATAATTTATTGAATTATTTATATTAAAAAAAAAATAGAGAGGTAAATGAAAAACACACTAAAACAAAAGTATGTTATCATTTAACTTTTTACAAACATTTATTTTAAACTAATTACTTTAATCAAAACATTTCATGTATTGTTTTTGGACTTTTTTTAAATTTAAAAATTTGGTTTCACATTTATGAATGTTAATTTATTATTAAATTATTAAAGCTGAAAGCTTATACAGTAGAGCATTGATTATCCAAATATCAATCAACCGAAACATCAGTTAACCGAAAGTGTTCCAGTCAGCAAATTTAAATTTCTGCTAGTGCTGTGGCGCTGCAATCTTTGGCTATGTCTTGGGCTACTCCAATATTATTTTTGTTGGTGTGTGTGTTTTAGCTGACAGCATTGGTGCAATTATGAGAAGGTACTTAAAGACACACCAGAATTTGAACAAATTTCAACATGGATAGGTTAATATATTTCTTTGTACATAATTGGTTATCCAAAAAATCGATTATACGAACAACCCCAGTCCTGAATTGTTTTGGATAATTGATGCTCTACTGTATGTTATAAAGAAATTAATAGGGAAAAAATAATAAATAGGCTACAAAAACTGTTAGAAAAATTTTATTTAAATAAATATGGAATTGTAAGAAATTTACTTATAAAATATTAATTCAAAGACAAATGTCAATGTAATTTAAAATGAATTTAAACTAACAATAAACAAACAACAAAACAATTACAAGACATCTAAATATATATATATATATCAACATCCAAAAACCTGACATTTAAATGTTTTAATTCAAATTTCTTACAGTTATGCTTAGAAGATTGGTTGTTATGGTTATATTGTTAAACATAAGCTGCTAATTTCATCTATGAATTAAAAGAAATGAATAGTTTTTCAAAAAATTCAAAATATATTATTTTGGAAAAACATTATTTGAAGTGAAAAATTCAAGTTTGAACTGCTTATCCCTGAATGACTATAAATTGTTTGGAAAAAGAATAGAAATGCATTAAATCATGGAATGATTAATGATATAATTAAATGTTCACAATATGTAATTGTACAATAATGTTTTCATACAATGGCCTTGAAAATTTGATTGAAATATCTGGACAATAAATGCATAAATATAAAAAGTTTTGATAGAAAATAATATAAAAATCCCAGCACAGAAAATGAATAGGCAGAGAGTTTTGCTTTTTCTATATGATGCTGAAGAAAAATGTTAGTCCCATATAATTTATTTTCAATATATTCTAAAAATGATAGTGATAATTAAATATAAAAAAAACTTATACCACTAAATAAATATAGTTTCTGAATGATTGAAATTTGATAATTTATTTCTGTCTTCATTTTTTTTTATGTCCTCCTTTAGAAAAATATAAAACTTGAATATTTTTCACAAAAAATATTAAAATTTACTTCATAAAAATGTGTATATTTACTTATTTATTTTAAAATGCTATCATTTTCTTAATTTTTTTAACTATAAATATTTTTAAATACTACTTTAAAAATATAATTTTAATGTATAAATGATAATTTATTTTGATAAGCATTGCACATTGCTTATGAATCACTCAATAGTTAGCAATAATTTATGCAAATTAATTTAAAGTAAAAATATTGTTTCATATTGTTAAGAGATCCATTAAAAACAAAACATAATTGAAAATGTTTTATTATAGTTTATATATGATATATTCAAAAAGTTCTTAATTTTATCAGGTATAATATAGAATTAAGCTAAATAAAATTTAATAAGAATTAAATTAAAACAACACAAAATTGAAAGTAACGTGTTATTATTTAAGTTTATTCTGCATATAAACAATATATAGATGAAACTTTTAATTCAGATATAATATATTCTAGAATTTTATTGCAAAAACCAAATCAGGAAAATTTTCATTCACATTGCTGAAAATTGTTGGTTACTGTACTATCAAACTCTGGAAATTTAAACTTGTAAATTATTATATTTTTACACAGATTTGTTCCAAACTGGCCATTAAATTTCAAACTTCAAATTCAAAGTGAAGTTCAAAATTTAATGGCCAGCTTGGAACAAATATACATACAAGCCTGAGGAAGAGCCCAGAAGGGGCATCAAAAACATTCACAATAATAGAATATAAACAATCCGGTTATTTGGTTTAAGTAAGTCAATTTTATATTCAACACGGTGTGTTAGGAAATTAAATACCCCTTTCACTAACATATAGTATTTACATGCCTCTTTGTATAACGTCTTCAAATTTTCCAGCCTTAGTTTTTTATGTTTATTTATTCTAGTTTTTAGAAAATATATTTGATCTGTAATTCAAATATAGTTTATTTTTTACAGCTAAAGATTCTGCAGATATATTGAAGTTATATACAGTTGTTGCAGAAGAAATAAAAGGACAAGCAACATTAGCTTATATAGATTGTGGAGGGTAAGCAAATTGTTTATATTTAATGTTTTATAATTGTGAAATAACAAAAGAAAATTTCTTAGTTATATTTTAAATATTCTTAGTTAAAATTAGTTAGTTAGTCAGTTAGTAAAAGTTCTTATTAAATTAGTTATATTTAATTATTTACATTATTTGCTTTTTTATTTCCATTACAGTATTTTAAGTTCTGAGAGTTGATTTGTTATATCAACTACTATCTCAACACTTTTTGTTTAATGAACAAATGATAAGGCTAGATTAACTATTGGGCCAGAATTGGCCAATTAATATCTGTGAAATTAATTGGCCAATTTAATTTTTAAATTAAATACAAGATGGTGATATAATCACTTACACATTTAGTCCAAATAATATACTATCTACATAATTCATTTAATCATTAGAATAATTCAGGCTTAATTGTCTATATGTCAGGCTTAATAATTTCATTTAAAAAATGAAATTATTTAAATAATTTCATTTTTTAAATGAATTATGTAGATAGTATATTATTTGGACATTTATAACAATTCATTCCACAAACCAATGAATTATAATACTTTTTAATGAAATATTTACATATTCAACAGTGAAAAATTGATATACACTATTTTTGTAAACACATTTTATAATTTACGAAGTCAAAATTTCACTTTAAATTAAATGACACGATTTTGTTTAAAAATTATATAAAGTTGTCCTTCATTAATTTGAAGTTCAAGGGAAGTGCAAAATAATTTCAAATTATCCAAAATTCAAATTAACCAATTTCGTTAATAATTATGAAGTACTACAAATACAGTGTACTTAACTTCAATTGTCACATTTACTTGATAAGCTTAATTCACAATGATAGTGAATTGCTGGCAAAAGGAAAAAAGAGTTATAACTGATCACACACTACATTATTTTTGATGAATTTTACCATTTCATAAATTTCTTAGAAGTTCAGAACTGTTGAACTTTTTTGTTAGTGAAAAACATAGTGTCATTTGTTGTTCAGTGTTTCTAATGGTCTTTAAGATGGTTACAAAATCATCACACGACAGAGTAGACATAAAAAATAGCATGATATTCTTGCAATGCATATCTTTTAAACTATTCTCTCATTTAACATTCTTTTCTTTTTAACATATCATTCATTTTTTGTAACAAATATGCAACAGTGGTTAAAAACAGAATGTCCAAAGTGTTTTGTTTTTACTAATAATGTTTCTCTTTTGCTTGTAAGTGAATGATCAAAATTCACAATCACTTTTCACTTTTTGCAGTCTAGACCAGTTTTATGTTCATTTTTCACTTTTTGTATTTGCTTTTTCCTATTTGTCTAGTGTGAACTAAGTTTGAATTTCCAAACTATAGTAATTTTTTAAATATAAAGCTATTCCAGCTTTAAATTATCCAAAAATTAGAAAAAAAAATTTGAATTAAACAAGTAATTTGTTTGAAATTGCTTCTCGTGATGCCAAAAACTTTAAAAAAAAATACTAATACTGTCTATCAGTGTTGTTATTTTTTACTTGAAACGTTATTCTATGCCTGAAGAAGACAATCGGAATTTGTTGAAAGTACTTGTAGTATTGTTTCAAGTAAAAAACAAGTAATTTGTACATTACATTTAATGGGAATTTGTAAAATTCAAATTATCTAAAAATTAAAATTTACGAAGTTAAAATTAACAAAGTTCAACTGTATTTAATTACACTATCTTACATGTGATTTCTTATTAATTCAAATGGCTACATTTAAAAAATCAGCAAGAAAATGTCATATTTTGTCACAGTTTACAGATACTATAGCCCTATTATATCAGATATCTGTGCATTTATCAATGTAAAGTACTGTAGATGATGTAACACCACCAGTATTAGGAATTAAGACCACAGGATGTATTTTCAGTGAAATAAAACAACCAGCTGAAACTTGAAACTGACATGCCATGTTCCTAAGCTGAATTTATTGTCTAAAACACTTTAAGCCAGAATTGAGCTTTGTGGCTAGGTTTTGGAACAGTTTGTTGAGACATTTGAATAAAATAATATAATACAAAAGAGTAAAATAATACTCAAAAAACTTTTAAAACACAAGTTAAAATGTGTCACTATACTAGTATCAATTAATAGGATAGTTATACAATAAAGTGTATTGTTTGAAACAAGGGAGTGAGTGCATCTTAAAATTAACTTTCCTCATTTTTGCAGTAATGGTTGCCAGATCTCATTAACTACAACACCAATATTTAAATTCATTCTATTTTATGTTACAAATTTAATGAATTTTTGGTATTCATAAAGTTTCCTTTTGATGATTTTTTTTCTTTTTTCAGAATTTTGACATTGCTAAGTAAGATTTTGCATTCTGCATGATTGCATTGTGTTGCAATCACTGAGTTGAGATAATTATATCTAACTGCATATAAATACTCTCTGATTTTCATTTTTAATGTTCTACCAGTTTCTCTTAAGGCACATAATGGTATTTAGATAACAACTGCAAGTAAAAGTATAAATTGTTGTGTAACATGATGTATATTTCTACTTTATTAATTTCATTTATCTAAAAAATTGTGTTATATATGATATATTCAAAAAGTTCTTAATTTTATCAGGTATAATATAGAATTAAGCTAAATAAAATTTAATAAGAATTAAATTAAAACAACACAAAATTGAAAGTAACGTGTTATTATTTAAGTTTATTCTGCATATAAACAATGTATAGATGAAACTTTTAATTCAGATATAATATATTCTAGAATTTTATTGCAAAAACCAAATCAGGAAAATTTTCATTCACATTGCTGAAAATTGTTGGTTACTGTACTATCAAACTCTGGAAATTTAAACTTGTAAATTATTATATTTTTACACAGATTTGTTCCAAACTGGCCATTAAATTTCAAACTTCAAATTCAAAGTGAAGTTCAAAATTTAATGGCCAGCTTGGAACAAATATACATACAAGCCTGAGGAAGAGCCCAGAAGGGGCATCAAAAACATTCACAATAATAGAATATAAACAATCCGGTTATTTGGTTTAAGTAAGTCAATTTTATATTCAACACGGTGTGTTAGGAAATTAAATACCCCTTTCACTAACATATAGTATTTACATGCCTCTTTGTATAACGTCTTCAAATTTTCCAGCCTTAGTTTTTTATGTTTATTTATTCTAGTTTTTAGAAAATATATTTGATCTGTAATTCAAATATAGTTTATTTTTTACAGCTAAAGATTCTGCAGATATATTGAAGTTATATACAGTTGTTGCAGAAGAAATAAAAGGACAAGCAACATTAGCTTATATAGATTGTGGAGGGTAAGCAAATTGTTTATATTTAATGTTTTATAATTGTGAAATAACAAAAGAAAATTTCTTAGTTATATTTTAAATATTCTTAGTTAAAATTAGTTAGTTAGTCAGTTAGTAAAAGTTCTTATTAAATTAGTTATATTTAATTATTTACATTATTTGCTTTTTTATTTCCATTACAGTATTTTAAGTTCTGAGAGTTGATTTGTTATATCAACTACTATCTCAACACTTTTTGTTTAATGAACAAATGATAAGGCTAGATTAACTATTGGGCCAGAATTGGCCAATTAATATCTGTGAAATTAATTGGCCAATTTAATTTTTAAATTAAATACAAGATGGTGATATAATCACTTACACATTTAGTCCAAATAATATACTATCTACATAATTCATTTAATCATTAGAATAATTCAGGCTTAATTGTCTATATGTCAGCCTTNATTTTTATTATATTAAAATAAAAATATTTTTTAAAAAATTTTCTATGCAATTTGTATTTTATAACAAATATTGTATTCTATATAATTTTGTTTGTCTTTTAATGTTAGCCCATAATCATACTTAATATTAGAGACTTTTATGAAGAATTATGAAAAATTATTTTACATAGCACAGATTTGAGAAATCAAAAATAAACAAAAAATACAGTCAAAAACAGCAAATTATAAATAATAATCATTAATGTATTCATTTATATATACTATACATCAGAAATTCAAAAAGATATTTTAATATCAGAAATTGAGGAACATAATGTAGTATTAATATTAAGGAAAGACACATTGACTTTATTTTTCAGAAAAGAATGTTTGACAGAGAAGTAATTCTCTGCTTTCATTCTTTCAAGCAGAGAATTATTTCTTATTGCTTTATCTGAGACTTTTTCTCTCAGATAAAACAATTTGAGGCAATAATAAAGAGGCAATTCAATCATAATTTTTTATCAATTATAAAATCAAAGAATTGTGTACACTGATATATTCAAATATCTTAAAAGATCAGCAAGAAAAATGTTATCTGCTAAGAGAAAAATAGTATATAGTATGTAAGGCCTATAAGGAGAAGTAGTGTATAGTAGATAGTTTATTGGTTCCTATGTTATAGAATCAAAATAGGTATAGGCAGTGCTTTTTTTTTGGGAAAAATAGGTAGTGGAATGCTCATCTCATTACTAAAAATATATTACATGCATAGTACACAAGCAGGAGCAGGACCATCTTAATAATTTTGTTGCCAATCTTATGCTCAACAGAGAGATTCAACACAGACCAAACATCAAATTTTCAAAAGTTCTCTTAAAACTTTTAAAATATATCGAAAAATGGTGGTGGAATGCCGTTTCATTGTGTTCTATGACAAAAAAAGCACTGGGTATAGTATGTGTGTAATGGAAACTGACTTTTTTCTTGTTCTTTATTCATTCATGTTGCTAATATTTTGCCTATTTTCTTTGGGATGATGTAAAGCTTTTTGCTGCTATGATAATAAAATAAACAATGAACAGTTGAAAAAGAAAATTTGAATAAATTAAAAATTTAACTTAAATTTTGAAGAAAAAAATTACAGAAATATATTAATTACATCTACTTGTCAAAAATGAATGGCTTTTTAAATTTAAGTTCAATTTTTAATTTATTTAAATTTTTTCCTGACTAGTCAATGTTTTTTTATCATCATAGCAGTATCAAGCTCTGAAGAATCCTGAAAAGACAGGCAAAATGTTAGCAAGGTGAGCTGAATGAATAAAGAACAAGCAAAATAGTTTGAAATTCCATTTACTCATACCCTACACAACTAAAAATATGGACATAATCATATTCATGTAGATTATAAAATGCTAGTGAATTTTATCACTAAAGTAATATGCTACATATTATGCCATTGGAGCAGCTGATGCCAGTCTAGTGGCATTTGATCTTGAACACAATACACAGTCACATTTGCAGAAAGGATCATCATTCATATAATGGAAATCAAGCAAAATGTATTCTCAGAATTATCTGAGAATACCATGCAAAATAAATACTATTAATTTATATTTTAATTAGCACCTTCAAAATTTTGAGTGGAGAACTTGAATACCAAGAGTAATGAATTCACTGAATTTCAGATAAAAATAATGAATATCTATAATAATTCTGATAAAACTGGAATATTTACAATAAATAATACACCTTTAATTTTCCAGCATATGTCCTATATTTTAAACTAATACTTTCATCAGAATACATTCAAAATTTAAACAAATACATATTCTTTCACACAGATCAATTAACACCTCTTTGTGAATATAACTGAAATCATTTTAACACATCTATGAGAATACCTTTAAAAAATATTTTTACACATCTACAGTATGTAAATACATTTTTTTAAAATTATTCACATAGATGTGTGAAAACTTTTTGTTTATTGAAAATTCATAAAAATCCTTAAATAAGCAACATAAAAAGAAATAAAATCAGACTGATTTACTTAGTTTTTTAAAAACAAGAAATAATGATAACAATTCCAAAACAATAGAACCACAGATTTTAAACCAAGATATCAAAGTTCTTGCCAGTAACCTTGTTCAAGACAGAACAAGGTTTATTTATATGAGGGGGGTTTGCCCACCAGTTTTTGTTGATCACCTGGCAAAAAAATTCTGGAGAGAACAGTATCATTTTTATTCACTTTTTACTTGCATGTCTCCACAGTACAGGAAATATTGTCTTTTCCTAGTAGTAGTCACTCCTGACAGAAATTCACCATTCTTTATATTAGCTCTCATTCAGCTGCTTACTTCTCTATTTGTGAGTACATTCAAAGGCATTCTGGCACTGGTGAATGTTTTCACCTTATTGATCCATATGTTCTTTTTATTATTCATTCAATTAACATTTGAGAAAGTTATAATAATAAGAACACACCTGAATTCTATTTGCCAAGTTTTTTCTTTTTATTTCAAACGTTTTCAACCTATTTGGTTAAGCCAAATAGGCTGAAAACTTGGCAAATAGATTATAATTTTTCAACCTATTTGGTTAAGCCAAATAGGCTGAAAACGTTTGAAATAAAAAGAAAAACTCAGCAAATAGACTTCAGGTGTGCCGTTATTATTATAATGAATATTGCTGAGAAGGAGCTAGATAATTTGAGAAAGTGTTTCAATTGCTTTACTGCCTTCATTATTTTGTTTTGTTTATATTTACTACTGGAGTTTATTTTATGCTTCCTTGGTGTATTTTATGTCATTTACATAAAGTCTAGTCTATATAAAATTTATGAAGATTACTATTTTCTAATATATATGTTAAAGTCCTGCCAGATGGAATCAATACATTCCAAGATCCTTAGTGTAAACAGAAATTCACATAAAATAGTGAGCTCTATTAATTAAGTACAGGTAACCCCCGTATAACACGGTAGTTACGTTCCAAAAAATTGCCGTGTTATGCGAAACAAAGAACTAGTACGAAAAGGAGGGTAAGGTTCCAAAAATTAAAAAACATGCTACTATATTTTCATAATTAAGATAAATATCTTTATTAAAATTTTCTTAAGTGATACATATTAATATAAGCAATGTTTTCTTTGTCATCACTAAAAGCACTATTAACCGAGAGCGTTTTATTTTTGGCAAGTTATCGTTATCCTCTGAGCATTTTTCTGCATTATTTTCAGATTCATGCTTTACCTTTTGCAAAAAGTGTATGTAATTTTAGATTGCTTGCTTCTAGTTAAAAGATCTTTATAAATTTCCTTATATGGTGCTAAGCACTTATGGAATAAGGGAAAAACATCTGGCAACACCAGAAGCAGAAGCGTCGAGATCTGGCAAAATTGAAACAATTTTCGCGAAGGACCATGTGTATGAAGACGAGAAAAGAAAATTTACACACTGAAGTACTAATAGTTCACGAAAATAATAATTTTCGTGAACTATTAGTACTTAAGTATATAAAAATTTATTACATTTCATGTTGTACGAGGGTTTTACCCATTTCTCGAACCGTGTCAGAGTGAATCCGTGCTATAAAAGTATCGTGTTATACGGGGGATGGTACCAATTCTCGAACCGTGTTAGAGCGAATCCGTGCTATAGAAGTGCCGTGTTATACGGGGGTTACCTGTATTTTCTATAGTAACTTTTGTTTACAAATGTAATTTAACTAATATCATATATCTTTATTTATTTTTATTTAAAAATATTTACATTGAATATAAGTATTCATGAAAATAATTTAATATTTAAATATTTTTAGCAATGGTGAATTTCATAAAGATTATGACAGAAAGGAAACAATTCAGGTTAGTTAAATGAATTTAAAATTTTTAAATATACAGTTATCTTTAATTGAATATTTGGATGAATTCTAAAATATGTATAACTAACAGATAAGCCCAGCATTGCCCAGACAAAAAATAACAAACATTAAGATTATTAGCTTATTGATTTATATAACTACAAAGGTTATCTTATGTAAGGGTTTATCAAATGGAGTGACCAATCTAACTCATTTGAAAAATTTTTTAAATTGTTGTACAATAGAGGAATAAAACATTTTTAATTTAAAATATGTTAGATTACTCACTCAGTGTGATAAATCCTTATGTAAGATAGCCTTTGTAGTTATATAAATCAAACATATAGTGAACAAACAAACATCCTCATTTATATACATATATATAAAATACATTAAGTTTATATATGATCATTTTTATGAGAGATTAGAATTAGATATTGATGATTAATATTAAAAGTATTTAAGAAAATTAAATAATTATTGTAATGTAATCATGTGAAATCTGTAGTTTTCTGTTGTATGTTTTCATAATAATTTAATAGTAGTACGGTGGAGCCTAGTTAACTTGAATCAGTTTGAAAAAATTGGACATCAGGTTAAAAAGTTTCAAGTTATAGCAAAAATTAAGATTTTGTGCATTGGTTTATTGGTGATCCATAATAAAATATCCATACAATATTTTCATGGGAGAATTATTATGTAGAATTGTCATGTCAATGTAAACCTCTTGATGTTGTCCAGAAATTCAAAAACACTAAACTGAATGGTTAAATAATCTCCTGAGAATTGCCTTTCTGACTAGTTGATTTATTCACTCCTAAGTGCTTAGTAAGGATTTTTAATTGTGATATTTCACACCTAGAACTGATCGGTTTTATTATTTTTTATCACAAACATATCATTCTCTATGATTGTTATATATTTAAATATTGTTGCAAAGGTTAAAATTTTTACAGACTATAATCGTTTTTTTAAATTAATCTATCAAAAATTCATTTATTTATTATGTCAGCTAGTCAGAGAAATCCATCAGAAATCAAATAAAACAAAATAATGTTAAAAAAAAAAAGCAGGTTTAAATGACACAGTATCTAGGTCACATGCTTTCTGGAAGCCACCACCTCGCTGTTGTCACAAGATACAATGTTTATTTTCATTGTATGTGGTTCCCATGCTTCGTAGAAAGTTTCTGATTGGTTTATTTAATAGATAAACATAAATTATTTTATTTAAATTAAAATTTTGGAGAGTTTATGAAATATTGCATCAAAACCCCCATTCATAATAAACAGTTCAATGAATTTGAGTTAATTAGTTTGAGTTATTTCATTTTAGTAAACTAGGTTCCATTGTAGTTAGAAATATTTTCTGTAATTGATGAAATTAACGTTAGGAGCTATTTTATTTAATTATTACTCTTTATAATGATTAAATTTCAGTAAAGAATTCTGTACATTGACAAGTAGGATTTTTTGATAAAACCTTACATATTTATTATTAAAGAGATATATATTTTTATTTATTAAGTGAATAATTTAATCATAATTTACACTTAAAATATAATCTCAAATTTAAAGTTTTAGAAGCCAAAAATATATTTTTAATGAATATAGACATTTTCAGTTCATCTTCTAGTGGAACTGCTTTAACTATATTGGATATACAAAATAAGCATTTAAGCATAAAATTAAAAATTATAAAAATAAATTAACTGAACTAAAACTAATTTTCTTTTTTTGTGCAGTCAATGGTAAATTTTTTAAAAGATCCATCAGGCGATATGCCATGGGAAGAGGATGAAACAGCAAAAGATATAATTCATGTATCAGATGCAAATGTAAGTTGAATATTATAAAATACAAAATATTAGTTATTAAATGATTTTTGTTTATAATTGATTAATCTGATATTATACAGACATACCATTTGTAAACTAATATGTTTGATTGCAGGCATTACTGTAAGGCAAATATTGCCTTAAAGTAAAAAATGGCTTTTTTTTTCATTTGCAAGTGCATATAAAAGTCTAAAACATTTATTCAATGCACAGTAGCAATAAGCCTGAAAAACACTGCAAAAATAAAAATATTCAAAACCCCATGAAAATAAAGTACTAAAAATAATAAACAAGAATACAATTGAAAAGTATCATATTAGCAAAGCATTGTAGTGTGAATCATCTTCAGGCTAGGTATTCAATATATCAATATATTGGGTTGTTCAGTTTTTTTATTACTAGAGGAATTAGATGTATTTTTACCAGCCAATTTCATTTTAAACCAAATTTTCGTTATATATTTTGACAGCTGACATTTAAAGGCTTATTTGTAAAAACTATTGTTTGATTCTATACAATTTTTTTTTTTTGGTGTTCCATCAAATATGGAAAATCGAAAGCATCATTTTTGGCATATTTTGCTTTTTTATTACTAAAAAATCAAAATGCTGTTCAAGCAAGAAAAAAATTGTGGTACATGTATGGAGAAGATGTGTTGAGAGAAAGACAGTGCCAAAACTGGTTTACAAAATTTTGTTCTGCAATTTCAATATTGAAGATGAACCACCTTCTGGATGGCCAGTTGAAACCAGTGAAAACAAAATAAAGGTACTGATTGAAGCAAACTGCCGGAAACAACATGTGAAATCACTAAGAGATTAAATTTGTTGAATTGAACCGTTTGTGATTACTTGAAACAAATTGGTTTCATTTCGAAGCTTGATATATGGGTTCCACATGTTCTTAAAGAGAGATGCTCTCTTTGTTGGGATTTTAAGGAATTTTTTTTTTTTTTTTGGGCTTTTACCAGACAATTTAATAATTGATTCGAAAGTGTACTACCATCAAGTAAACAAATTGAGTGATATCATCAAACAGAGAAGGCCAGAATTGATCAACAAAACAGGTGTAGTGTTTTACCATGATAATGCCAAATTTCACACAAGTTTGGTAACTCGTCAGAAACTGTTATAGCTTAGATGGGACATGCTATCACACCAACCATATTCGCCAGATCAAGCACACTCAGATTATTACTTGTTCCGGTCTATACAAATTTTTTTAACTGTAAGACATTTACTTGAAATGACAATGTCAAAAATCACTTGGATC